GACCCAAGGACTAAAAATCTTTTATCCATGTCAAAGGTTAGCGAGTGTGTGTGGGCGAGCGAGCTTGTCTGCATGGCACTGGCCGCGGTCGCAGAAGATCGCCAGATAAACGATGTACTAGAGGCACTTTCTGCCAGAGAGGTATTTAATTTTTTTTTGGCGCTTTGTCTATATGTGTCTAACTATCTTATAAAAAAAATCTCCCCCCAAATCACCGAGACTCGTTACACTTTACAGGGCACTGAGTGGCACATAAGAGGAGTGTATCTTTATATTCACGAAGATGAAGAATTGTGTTTTTTTGATATACTATTACATACAGAGCAAAAAAGAGAGATAGTGATCGCTCACCCCCCCGCACACACACGCAAACCTGTAATCACTCGATAGTGCAAAAAAGAGAGACGAAAATGGTCATAGATGGGTGTATATGTGGTAATATCTGTCTATGTGTGTATTTATATTTTGAGATTTTCATTGTGTGAAAAAAAGAGATATATATATATATCTATATATATATATATATACATATATATATATGTATATATATATATATATATATATATATATATATATATATATATATATATATATATATATATATATATATATATATATATATATTTGTAAATATTTATTTATTTACTTTAGTCTTTATATCGATGTTGTTGTGTTAGGGCTGGTTAGATTGTAATTTGTAAGTTATACCATCAGCTGAAGTAAGGACCTGTTTGGGATTAATATAATGGTCAAACTTTTTTCTACGAAATGAGTCGTTTGCCCCTTATTGGATTCGGTTGTAGTCTTGTTCATTGTTCATATCGAGTTGGTATTTAAGAATGTGACTGTAACGGTAACTAACTACCGAGACCCTAAACGGCGCCGTAGGAAAGTAGAGTCGCGTCATTACTTATAAGAACGCTACTTCATGTAAGCCATGCAGTTAGAACCGTTAGCGAGTTTAGTTAGATTAGTTACACCCAATACGAGAGAGCTACACATGGTCGTCTCTTTCAATCCAACCTCGTTCTACAAATAGAAGGGGGAGTTTTGTAATCCGCATCGAATTAATATTGTGTAATTCACACTTCATCAAATACGATCCAGTTGATTTTCAAATTCGTAGCTTAAGATCGAGGGGTTTCGATCTTAACAAAAACTCGAATAATTGAGTTTTATGAACATCTAATAGTAAGTTTAAACTTTTTTTTTTATAAGTGAGTTTGATTTTTCTCCAAACAAATTTTTATTATTTTTTTCCCTTTTATAAAATATAAATTAAATATTGCCTAAAGATAAATAATGCTGCATCCTAATTTGTATTTTTTAATTAAATAAAATTACGGCCCATTTTGGGTAAAGGGAACAGTAATTAAATAAGTTGTTGGGCCTATCGTTTTTTCCGGCCCACCTTTTGTTGAAAAGGCCATTTCCGTAATTCGGCGACACAATTCAGTTTCTAGGGTTTAGCTTGCGTATAAAACCTCCTCTGAACATCAGAATCCTCTCTTCACCACTTCGGCGCAGCAGCACTCTCACTTCATCAGCAATGGTTAGTGAATCCTCTCTCTCTCTCTAACCCTTTCGATTTGTTCTACCATTTCCTATTCTTCATTGCGATCTGTTGTTATTTGATTATTTGATTAATTTCAAGGAAATTTCATTTCAAATGGTTTATCAAATTTTCGTGTGTAGAAAATGTACGAATTGGATGGATTTGTTACAGTGATTTAGATTCAATTTGATGTGCTTGATTTTAAAAAATAATTTTTTTTCTCATTTCAGGTGTTCGTCAAAGCTCAAAAGTCGAGGGCATACTTCAAGAGGTTTCAGGTCAAATACAAGAGAAGGAGAGGTAAAGTAGTCGATTTTTTGGTCCAATGTTGTTGTAATTTATTACGGTGTTTCTCAATTTTTGTTTTCTAATATTTTTTTTATCAATCTGCAGATGGTAAGACTGATTACAGGGCTAGGATCCGTCTTATCAACCAGGATAAGAACAAGTACAACACTCCCAAGTTCCGTTTAGTTGTGAGATTTGTATCCTTTTTTCATGAGTTACTGTTGTAACAGCATCACCTTGATTGTTGTATATATCTATTAACTTCTATTTTTTGCCAATTAAAATGCTATTTGAGAATGATTTAATAGTTGCAGTTTTACATCTTATGAAACGTTGATTTTAATTCATAGTGTAGTTGAGAAGCATGTTTACTATTGACAAAGGTTTGGAAGGTGACTGGATTGAAGTGAACAATAT